AACACTACGCTGCGGAACAGCTGCCGTGATTGGATACTCCTCTGTTATGTAATCATCTACTTTTACTGTAAATCGCCTGTTGATTAAATAGGATTCAAGGATATTGTGCAATGAGTTGGGTAAAGATTTTTGAATTTTATAACTGAAACCGCGATGCCACACTTTTTGAAATGCGTGCGCCATATCAAGAAAAACGGCCGAGCAATACTCTCTGAAATCGAAAGCTTTCCATATTTAATTTGTTATACGTTTTACTTGTTCGATTGTGCCATGATTTGCGCGAAAACCAAATTGATATGTAGGAATTATACTACGATTTTAATGGCAACTTTTGATAGCAGGCCTTTTGCGAAAAGTTTGGAAAGTCAAAGCATTGCTCTATATGATGACGGCAGGGTTGCGTCTTTACTCGGTTTAGCTACCATAATTATCTGCTTCTTTTTTCATATTTGTGGATAATATCCCACCATCAAAATGAAGTGAAAAGCTTTGCATGAAAAACGAGAGCAATGCTTGGCAATTCCTTTTGCATTTTTGGTGAGATGTGAGAGTCCCCTGGCGACTTTTTTTTTGGATTTAAGTGTGAAATTTCAAAAAAAAAAAACCCGATCTTCTTTCATATTTCGGTAGATTGCACCTTCGAATATGACTTATTAAAATTTCAAATCGATATCTCAAATAGTTTTTGAGTTATAGCAATTTTAAGAGCAGCCGCTCTGCAGCTAGAGAGTCTCATTAGCTACGAGTGAAAATGATCATTTTATCGTTAAACGCTTTTTTCTCGAAAAAGCATTTTCCGAATTTGCTGCAGTGATTACTCAAAAACAAATGATCCGATCGCTATCGATTTTTTTTACATGTTCTATATATAGTTCTCCGTACAATGAATTTTGGCAGGCCAAAAACGACCAAAATTAATTAATTAATTAAAGTTAAAATTCGACTATTTTTTTTTAAAACGCCATTTTTTGTCATTTTTTGATTTTTTTTATCGTAAATCATTGTACAGACAATATTATCTAGCAGAGAATTTTTTTTAGACTTTAACCACGGAGAAGGCCGGAATCACTGCAGCAGTGAAGAACCTTTTTTTCGCGCCGTTGGAGATCGACTATAACTTAAATTTTTAATTCTTTTTTCAAAAATTTCGCTGTATATTCTTGAAACATGTATAAATACATTCTTAAAATTTTGAAATAATTAATGAAGTATTTTTTTTTAATAAAAATTCCCAAAAATCATCTTTTTTTAGGCCATTACACTAGGTGTGCCCCTTAAGGGATTACATAGGTCTTGAAGGCCAAAAAAAGCTTAATTTCTCTAATTTTTTAAAAGATACTAAATAAGTATACAATTTATTTTATTTACATATAAAAGTACAATATGTGGACAACATTTGATGAAAATTTGAATGAAAAAGAGTAGAAGTCAAGGCGTTGGCAGTGTGCTTTCGCGGTGGTCATGATAACTTTTTCAATTTTTATCTAAAATCAAAAATCCAAATTTATTCTTAAAGTAGGTGAATATTCCTTGTCGCTGAAGAAAGAAAAATTAAAAGAATTAAAAATTGAATTTTTGTATAATTTTTTACAACAAAATGTCATTTTTTGCCTAAAATTAGGCCACAAATTGGCTTATAAAATGAGTTGAAATCAAAGACTACAAAAACATGCTTAAAAGAAGTATGGAAAATTTGAGCTCGATAGCTTCAATAGTCGTTGAGAAATTTTGACAACCGATTTCAATAAAGTGATTTTAAGAAAAACGGGTTTAAAGTCAACGCGTTCGGCCAAGCCATGACAAAGACGACGGGTTATAAAATTCTACAGTTTCGTCTCGATCGACTTAAAACTTGGGGAAAATATTCCCGACACTTTGCACTTTTATACAAAAATTTATCAAAAAAATGAATTTTTTGAAATTTCAAGACCTATGTAACCCCTTAAGGCCGTAATAACATTTTTTAGTTCAGACACAGAGGCTCCGCAAGTAACAGTGTATATTGGAGCTGTCTGGTTAGGTGACAAAGATGTACTATTGGTAGCAGTACTTGCTCTGCAAATCTAGACGCATTTTGTTCATCCGTTCTGGCTCATGAACCATTACGTACGTCTCTGCGGTGCTTCAGTGCTTATTGGTGGTTAAAGGTGTTTGTTAGCTTTCCAAAGCGATTTTTTAGTTGAAGCGTTGGGAAACATAGATGTTATAAAATTTTTCATATTTCGTTCCTCTTCGTATCCAAATGACTTTTTTAGCTTGTTTTCTGCCATATTTAGTTACATCGGGCGATCGGTAGGCTTGCCTTTCGTGACGCAGTGCCGTTTGTTTCGGACCAACAACTCTCTTTCGCTGTAAGTTATCCATGTTCTGGTTTTTCGTTTTGTTTCCTGCTCTAGTGTAGCTACAGCAGCTAACATACTGTTAAGCACAAGTAACTCGCTTTCAATAACAGTTGCACTCTCTATTCCGTATTGGTCTGTATTTGACTGTTTATGTGGTTTTTTCTGTTTAAGCCTGTCAGTTCTGAACGTAGCAAGTCGAAAAGCAAACTCACTTTCAGTTGGTTGCTGGGTCAATTTAATGATTATTGAGGAATGATCAGAAGATAAGTCAGCACAGGTTGTGGCAAATACTAAACTCCTATCTATATTTTTGCTGCCTGCAAAGTCAATGAAGTCAGGTCATTTCCTTGCATCTGTAGGTCAATAAATTGGTTGTCTTAGTGAGATAAAATCGTATCTATTTTTGGCACTAATGATCGTTTCAGTCACCTCAAGCAAGGAATCTCTCTCCCAGAGTCTTTAAAAAGTCGCTAGATTTTATTTTCTGTTATTATGAAACGTGGCGGACAGTGAATCTCAGCCGAGATAAGCAGAAACATACCCCCCCCCCCCTATTTTTAAAAGTGTGGTATGCAGGTTTACACTATTAGCATTCTATGGTTGATAAAAGAGATATGTGGACGACCTGACTGTCAGTGGCCGCATCTACGCCATTACGCAGGCTCATTATGCTTTCCCGTGAATGCCAACCAAGCGCTTGTGACTAGTTCGCTGGAGTTTATAAATTGTTTAAGTTTATTTCAACCAGGCATACCCACCTCCGTCAGGTTGGAGCGGGGAGCATCACGAAAGGTGTGGTGTCTTAATCGGCTAAACTAATACTTCAGTGTTTCATAATCTTTTTGTGAACGCTTTGCACGCAACCTCCTAGGTTACTTAACCTAGCTTGTGTAGATGATATCTTAAGGATAAATCCCTCTTCCATACACCCAAAAGAGTGCTACGTTCGCTTTTACTTAATAAAAGTAACCAGTTTTGTACGTTATATCAGGTGTACAACTTTGCTTCCGCCGTTTTCCGCTAGGTGGCTGTACCGGCTGAGGCTGGTTGAAATACATAGATGATAATGCCTTTAAAGTGAGAGTGGACAGGGCATAAGGAATTGTCATCGCCGTTTCAGTGACAGTTGTTCTTGTTTTCGTATTATTCACGCTCAAAAATGTCCGTTATGTGCCTAATTCGAAAAAAAGGAGGTGAAGCGCATCGAATGCTCTCAGAAACGTACGGTGATGCTGCTCTGAGTGAATGAACGTGTCGGGAGTGGTTTCAACGAATGTTCACGGCGCCAAGGTTATGATTTGTATTTGGTGGGATCAGCTCGGAGTCATTTACTACGAGCTCTTAAAACTGGGTGAAACCATCACAGGAAATCGCTACCGAACGCAGCTGATGCGCCTTAGTCGCGCGCTAAAAGAAAAACGGTCACAATATCAAGAGCGACATGACAAAGTCATCCATCAACACGACAATGCTCGGCCTCATGTCGCAAAAGTGGTCAAAAAAGTACCTGGAAACGCTGAAATGGGAAGGTTTGCCCCACCCGCCGTATTCCCCAGATGTCGCCCGTTCTGACTTCCACCTATTCCGTTCAATGGCACACGGCCTGGCAGATCAACATTTTCAATCCTTCGAAGAATTGGGAAAATGGATTGCTTCATGGATAGCGTCAAAAGAAGACTTCTTTTTTCGAGCCGGTATCCGAAAATTGCCGGAAAGATGGGAGAAAGTTGTCGCTAGCGAGGGACAATACTTTGAATAATATATCTGTAAGCACTTTTTCGCACTAAAGCCTTTAATTATGAAAAAAAAAACGGCAGAAGCAAAGTTGTACACCTAAAGCTCCAAAGCCTTAAGTCTTCCTTCATTTGCCACAGCTTTAAACAACATTTGAAGGCACTAAAAGAGCTGAGGAAGTCGATGGTGACAGCTTCGAGAGAGTCACCAATGCGTGCTAGCTTTGTTTCCTCAAGCCCTACCACGAGATTCCTAACAGAGTCGAAAGATATTATACAGCTACCTCTTGTAGATGGTGCGTTGAACTGTTGAACTCTCGTCTTTCTCGCAAAGAGGCAGATCTCAGTATACGACCTGTGAGTGGAGTGACAGCCGCTCAGGCGATATTCATTGTTTGGATGCATAATGATAACAAACACGACTAGTGACGAATAAAGACGACAGATAACCGACCGATGTACTATTGGCTACGATCGATATAGAGGTTTCTCTGGTTTGTGTTTGCCCTTAGGTATATTTGGCTTAACAACTATTTGGCGACCAGTAAAGGTGATAAAATGTGAATTACAATAGATAAATTTGGCTACAGACGGATAATATTTTTCAGTTGATCTGAAGAAAGTTATGGAATACTAGACAAGATTTAGACTTCCAATAAACCAGGTGAGAGCCGAAATGCAATGTGTTGACATATGAACCGACTAACCACCTATCAATGCTAGTTCCTCCAAAGAGTATATTTAATTCTCCACTATCTTTTAATGCTTAGAATAGGTAGAAGAACCCAAACAATCCTTGCAAAAACAAAGATACTCGATCGACTCTCTAGTTTATATTATTTAAAGTTTCGATACATATATATATATATATATATATTAAAAGACCTTACTCAATTGTATAAAATATCTTCCATGTCCTCCATAGAATGGCCGAAAACTCCAGAAACTCCAAATTGTCACTAAAAGACGACGAATGCACTTTTACTTGGAAACTCTTCACCGGCTGGGATTATATGATTGGTAAGATGACAAAAGAAATATTCTCATTATCTCTGATTTGTTTCGTCGCCACATATGTATATTGTCTCTATATATCATTGTGCTCATTACATACTTTTACAGGTCACGCAGAAACCGCACACAACCGCATCGCATCCGTAGTGGTTGGCTTCAAAGAAGTGCTGCTGGAAGAAGCTGAAAAGAAGAAGGATAATCGCAAGTGAGCCATAAAGTTAATTAATTACTGTTGTCAATGCAGTTTCCCTTGCATCAGTATATAATACATTTCGGCTTACATATTCTTTAGCATATTCAACCTTTAATTTTCTCTTTGTCTTCCATTCTCCGGCTTGTGTTGACACAGTTGGCGCATTATTTTGCAACGCATTTTGGTGAATATTGTTGTGATTGGCCTATTGGCTGCCTCTGCTTACACCGTTGTCACGCTGGTTAATAGGTGAGTACAGGCTCATACTCTTTCGCTTTCTCTCCCTCTCGCTCACACACTCAGCAGGAGACTTTTGGTGTCATTATTTGCGCTGTTGGCATATTTGTATGCGTTGGGCGTGCGATTTTTTCATTACAAATTGAAATTTCCAATATTTTCATTGTTTTTCTTTGTTCTCTTTTCTCTTTTATGCTTCGTACACACGCACACACACGCACACACGTACTGACACTCATACACAGCTCGGAGGAATTGGCGCGTAACGGCAATTTGCTGAGTCGCAATGCGGTTAATATCACCATAACACTGTTGGCATTCTTCATGCCGATGATATTCGATGCGTTGGGTTTATTCGAAAATTGGCATCCGCGACAGCAGTTGCGTCTGCAATTGGCACGGTAGGTATAACGGTTATTTGTAATTACATATTTTTTTTTAAATTACTCTGAAAGCATGAGTTTTGAGTTTTATATAGATTTTTAATAAAAGATCTCTCAAGTCCTCTTACTGCTCTCCTATAACAGTTTCTCTTCCCAGAACCTTTATTCCTATCTCTCACCTCTTTGTTAATATTTCGCCATTGGTTTGAAAATTGAAAAACTGAAATTTATTTTACTCTTCTCTGCTCTGACTTGAGAAAAAAAGGGAACAAAAAAACGAGGAATGAAGTAAATATTCGGTCCTCTTCTGCACCCTCGTTCAGTGCTTACATTAAATCTTGAAATGTTAATTGACTTTCCCACTCACATCAACTTGTTTTAGGCACAAAAATTTCGTTAAGTGAAACTGCTTCTAGAAAATTTTATGGAAAAGGATCAGTGAAGATCTCGAACCTCATTACCACAATTTTTGCATAGATGCAGCTTTCCTGGAAAGCGAGAAACCTAGTTAACAGGAGCCTGCGAAGCATCTTACATCCTTGATAAAGCATGCCTGAGTATATTTTCTGAGTTGGTACAGAGCTCCTCTCTTCATCCCGAAAAAAAACCTACTCTAAAAGAATGTCAACTAACGAAAAATTTGTCCTTCGCTGAAAAAATTTCTCTCGCACAACTTGGTGGTGAGTGGCACAGAGTTCTCTTTTCCGACCTACGTATCGTGATATCGCTCGGGTACCAATTTTATAGGTTTTGGATCTGCCTTTCTCCAAAGTTAGTTAGTTCATAGTCTGATGTTCACTTAGAGCATGTTGTTTTTATTGTAGTTGTAGCCGCAAAAATATTCCCCAAAGCAGTTTATAGGGAATATTGCGGGAGTTACAGTCCTTAACCTGATAAAAAAAATCCGGGTCGTTCCAGGACCTGATTGTTGCGGGAACTATTGGATTATAGTCGCCACCTACGACAGGCATGCCTTGCCGCAGGTAAATTCTTGAACCTCTATCACGCAGGTGTAAAAGAGCATCCTATATGTCAGTTAAGAGGCTGGCCTCCTTTCACAGTTGCACTTTCCATAAATTATTTACAGCCTTTGGTTTGTGGCATCCTATGAAGGAACTACAAAACAGGTCATCCAGTTAAGCAAAGAAACCGTCTGTAGGAATTAAATCAAACTGTGAAGCGCTTCTGGTTTCTCTCGAGCTCAGTTGGAGAATTTCAACCCTACCAATTTCATCAATTTGAATTGAAAGATGTGATTTCTTCACCACTACTGTAACAGATGTCCGACCTTATAAGCCAAATGTTGATTTTAAAGCAGATTCGTCTTATTGAAAGAATCCCAATTTAAAGACCAAAGTTTCCTAGTACAAGATGTTTATTGATAGAAGGATTTCGGAAAGATTTTGAAAGCTATCGTTTGGTCAGTCCTAAGTACGCTTAACCCTACTCGTATTAACTAGAAATCTTCTATCAATGTTACGTCGAGATCCACATACCTCTCCTACTTTCTGGGTACTCCTCTGGTGCTTTCTAATATGGAAGGTTATCAATATTTCAGGATCTAAATATTTATGCTTAACCATTTCTACGTCCGCACTTAACTTAACAACCTTCAAGTAATCATTAACTGAATTCCTTTCCCCCAGCATCATGATACTCAACATGCTCAACTTGTATTCGCTGATGTTCTCCTTCATCTACAACATCGACAGCAAGGAGGGACCCTTGCAGATGCTCAAAGAGCGCTTCGACAACTCAACCTATGCGATTCAAAATCTAACCATCGTAATGGATGGTTATAAAAACAACAACACAAATAGTACAGTGATAGCCGCGTTGGCCCATCTTAACCTCACTAGCACCACCACCAGTCTGATAACAACAACAACCGCTGCCACAACAACACTTTCCGGCTTGGTGACGCGACTGCGGTGCCGTAACATAACAGTGAAATGCTCAAAACCAACACGAATCAACAATCGGAATTTCGCAACAACAACAACATTGCTACTACTCAATCTCACCACAACAACTATTATGCCCAACACAACAATGGAAGAGTCAAGCACAACGCCTGTATGGACGACAATGCTGCCCACAACCATACTGCCGTTACCGGCGAAGGCAACATCAGAGTTCGATACAATTGGATTCACAGTGGGCACAGAATGGAGTGCAACAACAGAGTTTTCGACGATACCAACCACAGCTGCGACACATATGTCGACAGATGCTATACTAACTACTTTAATGGATTCTACGGAGAGCTCAACACAAACCGAGACTACCGACTCATCTACGCCGCCACAGTCAACCTCCACAACGACGGCAGCGCCGGGTAGTGATAGTTTCTTTGACTACATGGATTATTTTGTTGGCATGCCACTGGAGCTTAGCGATTCGCAGGAAGAGGGGAGCGTGACGGAGACAACACAAGGCGGACTGAGTGACACAACGGAGCATTCGGGCAAGAGACCTTTAGTATTGCAACGAGAACGCAGGGAGGCTTTAGTGCGCAGTGAAGACAAGTCCACCGTAAGTCTAAGCCCAGTAGGCAGGTATAGTCGGCAACTGAATGAAAGAAGCAAAAGACAAAACGAGGGAGATACGACGAGCAACACGGAAAGTAGCATAACAAGCATGCTGCCATCATCCTTTGATGTTAGACCACAAGGCGAAGAACAGGCGCAGCAACAAGAAGGAGATATTGCTTCACAGCCGCCACAAAATGAATCATTACCAACGCTGCATGTCAATACGAAGCTGTTGGGTGAAGTGCTGGCTTATTTTACGAGTTCGACATCCACCGTTGAGCCGCCAACCACAAAGTTACCTACTACCGTAACAACCATGACTAGCGCTGCGACGACTACAACGTCGCCACCACCACCACCACCTCCAACAACTACTATACAAACAACTGAATCTGTGGAGACGACAACAGCATACTTTCTAAATGAGGATGACATCATCGACGAATCCACAGACACAATTAATTATGAACCTAATGAAATCGATGAAGACAATTTCGAGACATGTGTGCGTACTATTTGTGATCCTTACCCGGAGGAGGGTGTTGGTGGCTACACCACCGCAGAGTTAGACACAACCGCAACACCGATGATAACCTCATTGACACCGATGGAGATTTATGAAAAGAAAAAGACTGAGTACGAACAAGATATAAAGAATATAAAACATAATCTAACGAGCATGTGTTGGGAGACATCGCTGGGTCAGGAGTTGGCAAAGGTTATCGTATCGGATGGGGTGAGTACTTGAAGCGAAAATTGAATTCTATATAAGTTTTGCGCAAGAGTAGGGAGGATTGAATTGAGTAAAGCTTATGACAATGCAGGAAAAATGATTTTAACCAATGGATAGTAAATATTCCAATTTTAATAAAGGAAGTGCCGAGTCAAGCTAAGTCATCCTTAAATTCGCATATAACAGATCGTCTGAGATTACATAGAACTACAAGAGGCCTCCTGAGACCCTTCATGGGGACGATCACATTTCGAAAAAATATTTTTATAGCATTTTTTTAGAAGTTCGTCTAGTTGGGGCTCGATTCCATAACCCTCGACTTACGTTCTCGCTCAGTTAACTACACCTACGACACCTGAACAGACACTCGTCGAAGGTGAGCAATTAAAGGGCTTGTCTTTTGACGATCACTCTGCCTTTGAATATTTTACTGAAAATATTACTAAAAACCTCAGCCAGTTCCTCTGAGTCATATATAGTATACGTTCGCTTACCAAGCTTTAGTCTACTTGAATTCTAAACTCTACCAAAAACTGCAAATCCTTTAATCTAAGGGTGAATGAGTGAATTAAGTTAAACTTAGGCAGAAGAAGATTTCTATCTGAACTCTGAACACTCATATTGAAGCTCAAAAAGTTTAGTAATGAAACCCCGGGTGTTTAAACAGTCTTTTTCTAGCCACAACCGATAAGTAGTCTTATAACACCGAAATTTCCAGTGCACACAAAATTGTAGTCTTCTTTGGCCGATTAAGTTCAATAGCAAAGGCATTGAATAAGCTACAGCAATCGGCCCGCTAGTCTTTAAGTACCCCATACGCAACTGAAGGCCGGAGACTAGCAAGACTCAAATGCTCAAATGCAAAAGCTACAAGACTGCAAAATACCACCCTGAGTACCGTAAGGGCAAACTTACTGATGAAACTTGTTTCTCTCTTTAAGGAATATCTACTGTTGTTGTTGTTATAACCGCAAAATTATTCACTAAAGTACTTTTTGGGGAATGTTGCGGGAGTGACAGTCCTTGGCCGGATAAAAATCCGTGTCGTTCCGGTATAAAGACCCGACTGTCGTGGGAACTATTGGATTTTAGTCGCCTCTTACGACAGGCATGCCTTACCGCGGATAAATTCTTGAGCCCCTAACCCGCAGGGGGTAGGAATATCTACTAGCATACCACCGTGTGGATATTCCTACCAGACATCTACTGGATGCCGAGCCTCCAGCCAGGCAGATTAGGAAGGTGGTAACTGACTTCACGAACTCCTTTCAGCACCACGTAAAAGAAACGCTGTATAGAATGACTTTTCGACAAGCCCGGAACGTCTATGAACAACTTTATAAACTTCTTCCCATGAATCACAAGCTTGAAATCCAACCACCACCCATAGCAGGCAAATCTCTCGAACTGCCCCACATGACTTGAATAATGCTTACTTCTTAACACATCTTTTCCCTCCTACTAAAATCCACTCATTTCCATGGCTTCTCGTTAGATGATCACGATGACATAGACAAACTTTAATTGTTCCCAAATGAAGTTAAGAAGGCCGCTACAACAAAAACAGGCCGTATTCTCTATCGCAGCGCAATTTTATCATATCGCAATGATATTCAGCGCAAATGAAGCTTAACATTGAATTATTCCAAAATATACATTGACAGAAGCTAAGGTTAGCTTTTTTGAAGCCTCTCTTCTGTTTTTAGCTCGCCCAGAACTTCTTGCGTAAGCTAAGTTGACTAAAGCTCATCATGAAAGCGGCTGGCAATTAATGAATGGGTACACCACTTTGCATTTCTCATAAGGAATTTTGTCGCATAGAAAATGCGTACCACAGATCATCCATTGCTAACCCCTCATTGTACTTACACTAGGCTTTAAAGGGTTAAGGAGTGCTTGGAAGTTGAAATAAGAGTAGTTCTCCCAAGCGGTTGATGACCCCTCTCGATTTTTTAATTTTTAATTTTTCAAAATCGTTTTGATAGTGCACCAGCCTTGAAGGTACAGTGCTCATAAATCGGCCGGATCGACGAAGCATACACAGAACTTGACAAAACGCTGGAGTACTTGGACTTCAGTCTATTTGGAGGTCAATATTTCTTATGGCACCGCAAGTTGCAGTATCACGGAAATAGGTGAAAAAAAAAACAATTTAAGTTCGCAGATCAAGCGAACTGTTCAGGAGAATTTCCCCGCCTTCAATGCATTGTTTGCATTCGATACTTGTATAATGAGAGTGTAGAAGCGCTCTCTCAATCAACTTCACAAAAACAAATGCTAAAGAAGCAGTTCACTGCTCCTAAAGAACTAAGTCATCTGGAGAACTAGCATGTATGTATTATTTCGTTGTCCTGCAATTCTCAACATGCTTATAATATAACTTTTGAATGTTTTAAAAGCTGTTAAACGTAAAATTTTAAAAATTTTCATAACTCAAAACTCATAAAGTTCAGTATGAAAGACAAGTAAATAATCTTTCATACAAATATGCCAAAACTTTGCGTCTTTCCTTCCACATGAGATCCAATTAAATCGGCTCTTCATTAAAGTGTCATTGTGTCCTTCATACATATTATATATAAATATATATATATATATATATATATATTGCGTCACATACTGTGAGAAAGCGAGCACTTTAACTGAAGATAAACACCGAACACTGCGCAATGGGGAAATTATCCATTCAACTTTGAAATTGCTAACAAAACTTTGGCGTTAAAGCCATTCAGCTTCGGGCATTAGCATACACCAGCTACATAGACTATCACATCAGCTATCCAGCTATGAGTCTCGAGGACACTTTTGCACTTTAAACTTAGAAGAAGTTGATGTGAAGGAAAATGGATTATTGTTTTTGCTTTATACCCTTTGGGCAGGCGAACAAATCAAAAGTTAATATTTAAATGAAATTTTACATTATTTCCAACATTGTCAATCGTTTTCACTAGCTCTTCATGATTTTGATGACCTGCAAAAAGTTTGGTTCACTTAATGGTTTTGTGCTCTATTTCTTTTTTTTTTTTTAATACCTATTTTCACATTCATTAAAATGTAGAGTAGGGTAGTCGGTCAATTGTTGGCTTGAGTTTTCATCCAAGCCAATATTTCTCCCAAGATGTTTAACAACAATCCCAACTTCTAAACATGCATAAATATAATATGTGTGCTGAATGTATATATGAGTAAATATGTGTGCCAATCTCATGTCTGTCTATCATTTGCTATCACTTCTACGCACTTGACGTTGCATTTCATGTAGACACAATACTTGCAAGTGAGACTTTCTCCTCATTTCTCTGAAGCACCGGCGTCTGTGGTGCCGCTCGCATATACGTGTATGTATAATAAAGTACCTATGTACATATGTCTGTTTATACATATATAAGTAAATATGTGTTTCTATTAATGCATGTTTTGCAGACAAGCTGCATAAAACTCCATCGCTTTGGCGGTTAATACCTTATAAAAACATGGCATAAGCCCACTCGTGCACACTTATACCCATGCACTTGAGGGCATATGAGCGCATATTAAATCAAGGAGTGCAACTTTTGCGCATAATTAGCTACTTAACTTTTCCCTTCGTGCTCTGATTATGAGGTGAGACGAGTTGAGTGCTTGTTGAGAAGTGTTGCAGTAAATTAAAAAAAAATGCAGTATATTAATAAGGAAGTATGAAAAAATATATATTAATTATTATATATTTTAAAAAAGTAAAATGAAGCAAAATAAAAATAAGGAATTAAAGTAAAATAAAACAAAATTTCAAATAAAAATAAATTAAATTGAATAAATAAAAGAAGATAATATAAAATAATAGAAATATAATTATATTAAATAAAAATTAAACAAATTAAATTAAAATAAAAAAAATTTAACCAAAATAGAACAAAATAATTAAATTAACATAAATTGAATCAAAACAAAATAAGATAAAGAAATCAATAAAATAAAAAAATATAAATCAAATAAAGCAGATAAAAATTAACTTCAGCTTTATCATATAATAGAAATAAAATAAAATATTTAATAAAAAACTAAAATTAAATTAATTAAATCAAACCTAAATAAAATAAAATATAATAATAAAATTATTAAAATACAATCAAAAATTAAAACAAAATTAAATCAAATCAAAATAAAAGAAATTAATATAAAATAAATGAAAATTAAAATATACTCAATAAAATTAAATTAAATCAAAATAAAATGAAATAAAAATAAAATACAACAAAATTATTTAAATAAACTTAAATGAAATTAAGTCGAATAAACTAAAACAGAATGAAATAAAGTATTTAGTAACCGTAATTGGATAATATGAAATAAAATTAAATTAAATTAACTAAATAAAATAAAAAAATAAAAACAAGATAAAATACGACAAAAAATATAATTAATATATCAAAAAAAAAAATAATAAAATAAAAAAATTCAATAAAATTAAACTAAACAAAAATTAAATTAAATACATCAAAATCAAATATTAAAAATAAATTAAATTAAATTAAACCAAAATAAAATTAAAAAAAAATTAAATAAAAAAACCTGAATTTAATTAAAAGTAATTAGAAAATATGAAATAAAATAAAATAAGAAAATGAAATAAACTAAAACTAAATTAAATTAAAAATAATAAATGTTAAGTGCAAACAGTAAAATTGTATTAAATTAAATAATATATAAAAATAACTAAATAAATTAAAGTGAAAGTATGGTGAGTTTAATGAAAACAAAATAAAGTAAAATAAAAAATAAAATAAAAAAGACATAAATTTAATAACAATAAATTAAATTAAATAAATAAAACTATATAAAATTAAATAGCATAAAATTAATTTACAAAAAAAACTAAAATGAACAAAATTTAAATCAGTAAAATAAATTTAATTAACTTAAATCAAATCAAAACAAAATAAAATTATTATAAATAAAATAAAATCAAACATTATGAAATCAATAAAAAACTAAGTTACATTCAATAAATTTATATTAAATAAAAATAAAATAATATAATATAATAGAGAAAATAAATTAAATTAACTCAAATTCAACCCAAACACAAAAAAAATAAAATAAAGTAAGATTTAAATAAATTAATAAAACAAAATAATATGAAAAAGTATGAAATTAAATTAAAAACAATAAATTTTAAAGTAAAATTAAATTAAATAAAACCAAAACAAAGTAAAATAAAATTGACTCAAATAAAATAAAATGCAATAAAACAAACCAAAATAAAATAAATAAACAAACAAAAAAGTTAAATGAGTGAAATGAAATGAAATGAAATTAAACTGAATGAACTAAAGTAAAATAAAATAAAACAAAAAAATTATAAAATATAAAATAAATTTAAAATAACTTAATTAAATTTAATTAAGTAATATAAAACCCAACATATTAAAAACACAAAAAATAAAACAAAATAAATAAATTAAATCAATTAATTATAAAATAAATAATATAAAATAAAATAAAATACAATAAAATAGGTTAGAGCATAAAAATAAGAAATAAAAATAACCAATTAATATAAAATCAAATAAAATAAAATATTAATAAAACAAAGTAAAATAAAAAAATATGTTTTATATATTTATTATTATTATTATTAATTATTATTATTATTATTATTATTATTATTATTATTATTATTATTATTATTATTATTATTATTATTATTATTATTATTATAATAAATTAATAATACTATATTACATAAATTCAAGCAAAGTAAACATAGAAATAAAATTTAAAACACGTAAAAACTAGTAAAGGAAAAATATTTTTCATTTACCTAAATTAAATTGAATTAAGTGAACTGAAATAAAATAAAATATCAAATAAAATTATACTCATAAGAACAATATAAAATAAAATTAAAAAATAAGTAATATGAAATAAAATAAAGAAATTATTTCAATAAAGTAAAATAAACTAAAATAGAATAATAATAGGGGGAAAAAATTAATAAAATAAAAAGAAAACTAAAATAAATGAGGAAATATGAATTAAATAATAAAAATAGAAAAAATTTAAATTAAATTAAAGTAATATAAAATTATTATCATAGTGTAGGTTTAAAATTTAAAAAATAAACTCATAGTTTTGATCAGATTCCAGCCCTAGAGCAACCCAACTTCAACCAAATCAACGACCTCTCGTTTTGCCAAAAAGATAGGTCACTTTTATAACTTTATCTAGTTAAAATATTGCCTTTGAGCCCTGTGCCGGCCCGTTGCACCATTTCAAAACATATTCTACGTTTCAAAGATTTTACAAGGAGAGCCAGAGGTGCTCGGTACCGGGTAAAATTTTCGAAGACCCCAGACTTTGATTTTCTGCAGTTAAAGAAGAGTTATTAGCCGTCTCACGGCATATTTGAAATTTAATAAACTGATAGAGTGTGATCGATAATAATTCTTTCTATTTCCTCGCCCATAGCTTTTATCTCTCTTCGCACCGCTTTGCGTGGACTTTCTGCGCGCATTATTTGTTCGTTACCTCAATCAACACTGGTGCTGGGACATGGAGAAAACATTTCCACAGGTAAGTAGTGATAAATACTACAAACAAATGTGACATATTTTTACCATCTTCTACCATCCCATCCGATTATGCAGTATGGTGACTTCAAAATAGCTGAGAACATTCTGAACCTGATTATTAATCAAGGACAAGTGTGGATGGGTATTTTCTTTTCACCCGGCTTGGTATTAGTCAGCCTCGTCAAGCTAATGATATTGATGTACTTTCGTTCGTGGATCGTGCTAACCTGCAATGTGCCGCACGAAGTGGTCTTCAAGTGAGTGTTGAGTTGGTAGAGGAATTATTTTTATTTCCACACAACACGCTTTGTTTTACTATTCAACAGAGCATCCAAGTCCAACAATTTCTATCTCGCTCTACTGCTTACAATGCTCTTTCTGTGCGTGCTGCCGGTGAGCTATGCAATCGTATGGCTGCGTCCTTCATGGCATTGTGGACCCTTTTCCACATACAACCGAATCTCGGATTTCGTTACGAGTGCGACACAGGAGGCGCTGCCCAAGTGAGTTTAAGGAAACATTTATATTTTAATTACGTTCAACTTTCTTTTTGTTCTTTCCTTTCTCAGGCAGTTACATAGACCTCTGGGTTATTTGACCTCAGCTAGTACTGTAATACCACTTCTCCTGCTGCTTATTCTAATCATCTATTATCTCGTCTCACTGACGGGTGCTCTACGCGAGGCCAATCAAGACTTGAGAACACAGTTGCAAAAGGAACGCGAAGAGGAGCGCAAGAAGATATTTAAGGTACCGGAAACAAAGCCCGTGGAGAATAGTGCAGCGGCGCTGACCAGCAGATGGCGTAAAGTGTTGGAAGCTTCATCACCCGTGACACCGACGCCACCGCCGGATTTCGAAAGTGAAGAGTACAAAAATAAAGCCAGAAAAGGTGCGTATCCAAAAATCGATTTGAACTCATTCATTAAGATATTGACGCCCCATATTTCGTTGCATACTCTCCATAGAATTAATTTCGCGCATCATGAAAGAGGCACTACGCAAGGGTTCCGCCACTTCAGACGATGATTCCGTTAATCGACAAGGTAGAGACGACGACGATACGGATACGGAACACCATGACTCACTGCCACACGACGAAGATGGGAGAGATAAAAATCTGGGTTTGTCGAGACTCCAACAAATAAGACGGACGCGGAAACCCTCACTAGTAGACATCGTACAAATTGCGAAGAGCGAGCGGGAGCGCGAACAACGTGCTTCACTTTCGGTCAAAGAAAGAAGTAAAAGTGAAAAGCATGTCAGAAGGGACAGAGAAAGAGAGAGAAGTAAAGAAAGAGAAAAAGAAGCGGAAAATGATGAGGAGAAGCAGAAGAACGCGGAAGCGGTAGGCGCAAAGGATAAGGATAAAAGGAGGGAAGACATGAAAGATGACAGCGTAAAGAAGAAAGAAGAAAACAGCGAAGAGGTTACCAAAGAGAAAGTGAATGGAAAACGAAGAACTAAGAATTCCAACAGAGACAAGAATAAAGATCAAATGTCTCCAAAGGACGAAGAAAATGACGACACTCGAGACAAACGGCGGCCCGATAAAAAAACTGAAAAGGAGGAAAGCAGAAACGGCAATGCAAAGAACTGCCAAATAGACACAGACAACGATCCCGACAACAACTCGCGCATAGTGAATGAACGCAGGCAAAGTTTGTTGCGTAGAAAACAGGACGATGATCAACGGTCGAAAAGACCAACTAGTACACCTCTACCCACCAAATCTGAGGGTCAAACACCGACGGCTACAACACCCATACCACCTCGAGAAGAAGTGAAGAAAACGAATTTCATAATCGTAGATGAAAAGAAGTCGGAAAGTAGCGAAAGGGAATTACCACCAGCTAAGCATCGTTCATTTAGCGTACGTGGCGGTACTTTTAAGTTCCGACGTCAAAAGCCGAAACCCACAGAGACACCGAATGATGGAGAAGTCTTTAAATTCGACGATAAATCTTTAGAAAACACAGCTAATAATGGCAAACTCGCCAAGGCTGATGAGCAGCAACGAAGTACTACTCCACCCACCGCTTACAAACTGAGCGATGGTCTAACCACACCGACATTTGTGAACTCCGAAAAGCTGCTGAATCTTTCGCGTCAGGGTCGCAAGAAAATCGGCACACTGTTTGCACTCGTACGCGACACAGTCAACACAAAATGGAATGATGACGAGCAATCGCCAAGCAATAGCGCTGAGCCGATAACACCAAAATTTCCCACCATACAACCGCCACCGGCGCCGACGGCAAATACTAATAATGATGACACAGTTGCTATTGAAATACCACCCTCACCTTCAGCGAATGAGGGCGCAAGCAAACCACATTTCCCCACCGCAATGCCAGAGATAGCTATTGTACCCAAAGACGTTGCGCCTATTCAACCCGCAGCGAGCCCAACAACAACAACTGATGCTAATGCTAGCACTATCAACGATCCGGAGGCATTAGATAAACCTGGACCCATATACCACCCGCCGCATAATGTCGTACAGCGCCAAACACGCAAACCCATGGAACGCTCACAAGCCACACGTCAAGACTCGCAAACCTCAGTTTGGTCTGACAATATACCAACAATCACGATTAGTACAACCGGCAGTGATGAGTGCATCGTACAAGCGGTGTCGTCGGATAAGAAGTTCACGCCATCTGCCGCCATTCCAGTTGCGGCCGTTGCACCACTGAAAGAAAGTGTGGTTATGACCGTAACAAAATCAGCGCCACCATCTCCGGACTCGAAAGTTAAAGTCATTAAGATTAACATTGAAGATAAATAATTTTTTGTATTGTATGGAGAAGATCTTCTAAGCAGCTGTCGTGGTAGACGCCGAAGTGCCTTTTTGTACTCCATAAGCAATCCATTTTCATCACTAACTCGACCCACACTTTTAGTCACTTCAATTTTGTATTTAGCGGCAATTATCGAGCTGCTTCCTACTGATTTTACGGTAATTTTATATTATCACTGCAGTAGAGGAAAAGTTTAAATAAATTTGGAAAAAAAGTGAAGATAAATTTCCTTAATTTTAAATTAAGTAATCATGAAAAGGCAAAAACAAATTAGCGGCGACTTTACCCTTGGGCTTACATATTTATCAGAGAATTCCTCTTTACACGTAAGTGCAAAATCATCCAATTTTCTCCTAACGGTTTGAGTAGAAAATATTTTATAGCATATTTAGTTGAGACACACACCTTAACACAGGATGTAACGAAAGGCATAAGTTTACCTTAGCAGAGCGTCTATAATAATTATTATAATTAAAAATAATAATTATAGTTTCTCTGGTTCAGTAGCTTCAAATGCTTAACAAATGGTTTATATCTGTGTTAAGTTGGTCATCGTGAATGTTATCGGCACCCTCGTAGGAAATTCGTATATTATGCGGGGCGAAAATAAATCGATTAAATTCAATTCGACAATTTTGCATGAGGCAGTACTGACGAGCCTGCATAAGCAATGCAAAAAAAAAACTTTTCATATGTTCTATAAGGTTCGTACTCTGTGCGCCCATTCGTAGTAAAATCATTATAAAATATGCCGTTATGCCTCACTTCCGTTAATCACGAAAAACTTTTGAGATGAAATAACTAAAGCACCCGTAAATAGCGAACTCGAAACCATATTATTTCCTGCTGAACTATTCAGGCATGGCGGCGAAGAACTGACATAATGTTTCTTAGTAAAATATGGTCGGAAGAAAGCATTCCTTAAGTCTGCTCCGCAGTCTGCTCCAATTACACGTGTAGTGTTATAACTTTCCTTAATCTAAGGTCCTATCGAGTGTATATTGTAAGCGTCTGAAGCTCGCCGTCAACGAACTGAGATCCAGAAAAACCCATGAGAAAAGAATCGGCACACACTTGCCTTCGACAGCACGAAAAAAGAGCTACCATAATGTAGACGGGGTGTGAGCAACACCAAAAGCTCTGTCAAAATTGTGTAAGACCTATTCGAGCTGTACGTTGCCCAAAAGCTTCAAACAAGAACTCTGTTTATAGTGTGGCAACTTTAATCTATTTTTAGAGAGAATAATACGAGCTCTCTCAAAAGCCGCTTTTACCAGACTGTATAAGCAAGCGAGCCAAAAGAGTCTGATAATGAGTGAGCTCAAATATCTCTTTTCTTCGAAAATATAATCATCGCAATCGCATCTTGGTCTCCCCACCACTTTTGGAAGCCATAACTTTGAAGTCACAAACGATTTCGTATACTTAGGAATAAATAAAAAATCAATCTGGGCTGGGTATGGGATCCTCTTTCCACAAATAAAGGCCGAACAATACAAGCCGCTCATCATTCTCATACTGGGCGTGCGATTTGAAGTATTCTACGAATGGGCATTGACACCATAGACAATTGATACAGCACCTACTGATGAAGCTGAGGGGAAGAAGACGTCCACTCTACTGGAAAGATCTAATGGGGCGCGACCTAGTCTTGGTATTTCCAATTGGTTTTCTGACCACTTGAAAAGGTCAGTGAGTTGACTACTGCCGGAGTCGCTAGCAAGGCTGTCATCATCAACTGCCTAAGACTTTTCAGCTCTTTCAAATATAAGTGGATTCTCCCTCAGATATCATAACCAAAATTAAGCAAGAGGTAATCGGCCGAGTGTAGAGAAAAACACTGATGCAAAGGAGAACGTGAAGTCAATTGTAATATTTGAAAACCTACACAAGTTAGGTTAGTTCATAGGTCATCGCCATTTAGTTCTACAACCTGGAAAAACATTTGTTCTTTTTTATTTATTTCCGAAAGTCGATCAACTTCAGATATCTCGCTAACTAGGCTGAATTTTCCGGCTGCTGCACCGCTTCTGGCGTTTGGTCTGTCAGTGGTTAGGGGCAAATTGGCGATAAATTGAAGAACTTCGCTTTGGAACGGATTGTAGTGAGACGTTCATCCAGCGGAGTGAATACCAGGACTCTCTCCCAACCAAACTGAATCCAACTGCTAATTTGAGTTGTCTCGGCCACCGAATTAGATTTCATAAGAACTCACCTCCTTCCTTATTTTTCCCGACCATCGCACAACTTCTTAGGTGGCGATGATTTCAATCTGGGCCCCTTCCCAATTAAACTACCGGACATTCTTTGTTCACACCCTCAAATCGTTTTCTTTAAAACATTAACAGAGATCGTCATCAATAGTGGAGTAACGCATTTAAGACTTGGAGGTTGTCATTCTCATTTTGGCACGTTCTCAAATGAATGTTTTTTGGCTACTTAGAAGATACTTTGTCGTGAGAGCGGAAGTCGCGAGCTGCGCCAGGATTTGCCGATGGATCTACATCTCAGAAGTAAGACCAACGCTCCTCATTACGGTGTCATCGTGTGGTCAGCGGCAATAGCTGCACTTGGTCTGAGAGAGTCAAATCAATAGTATACTTGGTAAATACGACTTCATACCAAGTTAAACGGCTATATGTGGTTCAATAGTAGTAACTGACAACCACTTTAGAATACGAATTGCTAGCAGGGAAGAATGGACAGATAATTCCAATAATCCAAGGGATAGCCTAGAAGTGTTCACGGACGGGTCAAAGCTTGAGGGGAGAGTTGACCGACTCAAAACCCTCTGATGGAAGTCTCGTTCCAGTGTTTTCGAGGCGAAGATATCTGCAAAAGCAAATTGGAGCCAACTTTAAAGATAAAGATATCTTCATTTTCAGCGAGAGTCAAGCAACAATAAAAACTCTGGGCTCGCTTACACTAAACTCTCTCTACAGGAGATGGCCAAACAGAATAGACTGTCTCTCACATGGGTCCCTGGTCACAGGGATATCGAGGCAAACTGTAATGTGGATGAACTTGCTAAGCGAGCTATGACCAAGCAGATTCTTCTCGATAAAGAACGCATTGGTATGTCTTTTATTACATGCAAACTGTTGCTTAAGGAATTCATATATGAATAAGCCGCTACAAGTTGGAATGACTTCACAACCTGCCGCAAAACCAGGCACACATGGCTGATATGGGATAAGAAGAGCTCACGAGGTATGTACTCCTTAAAAAGGGGTGATAGGAGTTCTGACAGGCCCCTGTCTGATAAGACGCCACGTAGAAATACTAGGGGCTCCCTGTAGAAGATACTGCAGAACCTGCAGGAGAATGAAGAGGAGGAGACGATCACCCAATTCTTAAGCGACTGTCCTGCTTTAAACAGTGCGAGGTTTCGTAATTCTGGAACCCTACTGCTGGATGGTCTCTCAAAGATAGCTGACGTCATGGATCTAATGAGGTTCATTCGTGATTCGAAATGGATAAAGGATGTAATCTGATGGTTTAAGTTTTTGTGGTATCACAATGGGTCTAAGTCAGGCCAAAGTGAATCCGATTCGATAGATCGGCAGCCACTGCAACCTAACCTTTAGAACCATAAAAAAAATCTTTGCTCTCAACCAGTTTCCAGATTATATCCCGAGGAGGCCGCACTGTACAAATAAGCTTCTTTTTCCAGATGATGAAACTAAGATTACAGAACCATTACTTCCTCTCCAAATTAAAAAAATATTTTTTTTTTCACTCACCAAATCACTTTAATTTCACTTTCATACGCTGCCACTGAAACTCGAAAACTTTTTAAGTTTTCAATGCGTAAACACGCACAATGAACTCTTATCAGCGATCGTAATGTTTGTCGCACGATAACCTTTTATCCCCCTTTTTTTCTTATACGAAAATGTTAGAATATGGGTGAGTAATGCGTGTTAGTGACACCATTCTAAGCGGAATTCTCCAATCCAATCAGAACGCATGCATTAGCGAAGCGAAGTCTTCTTCTTACTTTCGCTTTTCATTCATACGAATCGGACAGCAAGTATACATACATACATATATGGTAGCGGATGTACATACACGCATATATACATATATATACATATTATGTATGTATACAGTGGTAGATCAAAACATAAGACGGCAGAAAAACAAACACCATTGAAATACGTCCGGCCAGCGAGTACAGCAAATGTCCAGTCGCGCTCTGCTCGTTAGAGACTGATTTGAAATGTTGCTTTAACGCTGCCGATTTTCATTTTATTTTTAGCTTAACTAAAAGCCTCTTTTTCGACTGGCTGGAAATGAGCTGAAAAGTTTCAATTGTCAGGCAAATATTTGCCGGTGAATTTAACTGTTCAAATAAGCTGAGTAATTATGGTTATTTCCAATGAAGGTATATATATATATATATATATATATAAGGTAAGCACATAATATATTAGTATATATATATATATATTAGTATATATATATATATACTAATATATATATATATATATATATGTATATATAATATAATATATATAATTGGCGCTTTGTAACTGCTGAAGCGATTTTCGACCGAGCTCCTTCTCCAAATGGAGGGACCAACAGTTTATACTAAGCCGCCTCCGAACGGGTGATGGTTTTTTTTATGAGGAGCTTTATATCAAGTCAGAAATACACTTGGAGGGGTTGACATTCCTTGCCGAGGAACGACTGCAATTAGAAAATTTATCTTAATTTTTTATTTAAGTTAATTTTCTATCAATCCGAGCCTTCCGAATGGCAGAACGCAATGCTAGCCACTCGGCTACCGCCAGTTTCTCAAGTTTGTGGGTATTTTATTGAAGACGAGCACGTCCAATAACCGTTCGACTTAAGAGCAGCAGAGTAGGTAATTCGAGGAACCCTGGATAAGTTTGATACCAAGTTTACCCGAGTCGATAATATGCATCCTCAGAGACGCCGAGCAATGCACATCGGAGAAGCTATCGCTGCTGTGAATCAGAATATCGAAGAAGACCCGAATGCGCACATTCGCCATCTCCTGCGCTGTGCCCATTAACTTGACGAAAGCTTTTACAGAAGATTATTTTCCTAAGAGCTTACAATATCCAACTCGTGCCAAGCGACCAACGAACGCAGAACGAATCATTGACCCATACGCGGAACGCCACAGAGTCATGATTAAAGCCTAATTTCGTGCGTGAATTGGAGAATGTTTATGTGAGCAATTTCCAACTAGATGGCAATACATGCCACACAAACCATCAATTTATTGAAGTAAACTTTTGATGAGCACTTTATCTCGCTCTGGATTATGTCTTGCGGAGCTACATGAAGACATTTATCTATGCACATAAGCCCAAGACGATTAACGTCTTGAAAGAGTATAGTCGACGCAAACCCTTCTCTTTATTTTAAAGCAAAATTCTTGGCCTAAACATTTTATGAAAATGACATGTCTAAAAAAGTACCCTTTATTTTAATAGATTTCCAACAATGAAAGTCCAATACAGTCGCTGCCACTAATCTGTGGATTTTTATAAGAAACGTTGAAATTCATATCAGCGACGCCATTTTCCTTTTCCATCAGCTCACCACCGGGTGGCTGAGAGTAAGTTGTGAAAGGATAACGAAGTCCTAACTCTTACTTCCCGATTTCTGATGACCATGAGGTGAGTTTTAAAACACACCCTCAGCGAGATGAGTTTCCATCTCGTCGCAAGCCTGAGAATCGCCTCCATCGCTCAGCATGTAGTATCACTTACTGGGCTCCAAATGGATCAGTGCACAGTTTTATTTCTTGAAAATTTTTTTGATAAGAACGATGTCACTTTACTTCAGATCACAATTGAGTCGGTAGATATCCCAGTAGGTTATTCTGATATCTAGAATAGAATAGAAGAAGATCACAATCCTGTATGCACTTACAGTATTTTGCAATATGAGTACTGCCTGCTTTCCCTGTCGAGTGCTTCTAGATGAATGCTGCAAGCCTACATCGCACTCACTAGGAGTTGCTAGCTCAAGCTAAAAATTGCTACAATGAATGCGCTCGTTTCTCTAACATCGGAAAGCGAGCAAGTGGGAAACTAATATTAAAGCCAACGTAGTAGTTTTAAGTTCCTTTTTGGTATAGTGTAGATTACGATAATCTGCCATCAAATTCCAAGCTGTAGGTAGGTTTGAAAAGAAGTAACTTTTTAGTACCTGATCTCACTTAGAAATAACTATGAGCCGAGGGATTAATAGCACGGTGGGCTAGGATTTTCGACTGACAAACTTTCGAAAGAGAATGTGAAACCCTCTGGGTCTATTTGTGATATGAAATAGAAAGCGCTATGGTTTAGGAAGATGCCTCCGTTCAGTAAAAAAACAGGAAGGGAAATAGAACTGCCAGATTACAGGTTTAAACACAAATTCTCGAAACTAAGAATGTCTCGTTCACGATTATTTTATTCACGGTAATCAACAAGGCAAGGTACGTAAGTCTGGTAAGAAATTGTCTTAGATTTATTTGAAGCGAATTTGTAGCTACTCCAAGCACTCTTAGTCCAGAAAAATGTGAGAGAGAGGGAGAGAGACGGAGAGAGACGGAGAGAGATAGAGAGAGAGTTAAAGTTCTCATCCACTGTCAAATACGAATTTCATTTCATTTGGATGTTAGCGCCATCACACTTACTCGAAATAGTGATAAGGCGATTGAACTAAAATTTTTCAATTCGTTAAAGACGGATTAGGTAATTTCGAAGCTAAGAAAATAATAAAAATCTTAAGCAATAATGGGTAAACCTACTAGACTGACGTATGATATAGTAACAAAAATCTCCGCCTTAATTATTTCAAAAACTTTTTTACTTTTTCACTTTTTTACAAGTTTTTGAAACAACACACACATCCACAATTGAGCAAAAATGATATCCTCTTAAATACTATTTTAGCATTCTTTTTGTCATGATCCTCAACAGTCTTCGCAGCAGTGTTTGATAATCACTTTTTGTGGGAGAGAAAAAATATATACTCATAATCACGAAAAGTTTACTTAGCTAAGTAATGGAAGCTGAACGAGTAAAGGAAAAGGAAAAATAAAATGTAATAAAAATATTTGAATATCTCCGCTCGGGCATATCAGTACTCCACTCTTTGTGTAAATAAGTACGTGCAAGTCTACAATGGTGTCGGGTTGCCATCTTTGCGAACGGTAACAAGAATCTCAAGTTCATTTCCATTGAGCATCGCTGACGATGCTTTCTGAATATTTGTTTGAGAGAGAAATTCGTGTTACTGCTTAGATAAGCCAATTAAAAGCTACAAATTCTTGCAACAATTCTCATATGAGATTTCTTATTGCATCTCAGTCTCCCTTAGCAATGCTTCCTCCATATAAGAAACACCATTGCTTTCGATATGCTCTACGAACTATAGTATACTAACTAGACTAGGAATTGATATTGCACTTAATAACATTAGCAGTCTCTGAAGAAAGAAGCAGAGGGTCAAACTAGGCAATCTTCGACGTTACTGGAACCTTTACCGAGGGAGCCCCATGTAATTTAAACGAGCTGATGAGCAAATCTGTAGCTATTTGGGGTAAGAGGCAAGTGAAGCCGTGATCTTCCGTCAACCATATCGGATTCAGAGCAATCTGTAAGGCCAACGGTCTGTTGAATTTTTCGACTATCCTTCAGGCGCGCTCCTCGTTCGGTTGGAGCGCTAAGCTCATCATCGAAATAATGCAAAGTTGTCGCTTTACAAATTGTCTCACCTTAAAGATCTTAGTTCTGCAATAAAGTCCTGAACTTGGAAGTCAATAATAATTATTCTTACTTACTCACAACAGTGCGCCAATAGTGTCATCTTATCGCTGTTTGACGCCTGTTTGAGGGAAATGCCAAGTATAGTCAGGTCCTCCTCTACCTGGTCAACCCAGCAGAGCGGTAGTCTTCCTCTTCCTCAGTTTCCACCAGCGGGTAATGCATCGAAAATTTTGAAAGCTGAAGTATTCTTATCCATCCGTATCACGAAAACCTAGCCGACGTAGCCGCTGTTTTTTGATTCACTGAACTAAGTCAACTTCATCGTACAGCTCGTACAGTACCGCAAATCTTACGAAAAACCTTTGTCTCAAAAACTATTAACGCCGCCTCATCAGATGTTGCCATCGTCCATATAAAAAGCGGGAACGGTGAGGGCCTTGTAGAGTCTGGTTTTCGTTCGTTGAGAGGTGACTTTACTTTGCAATGCCTAATCAGTCCAAAATAGCACCTGTTGGCCAGCCATGTTTCTGTCCCCAAACACCGATCTATACTGGTAACTAATTCCCTTCCAACCTTCTGGGTTGCTCAGGTATAAATAAATACCCGACTGTCGAGGGAGCTATTGGATTTTAGACGCATTTTCCGATAGGCATGCCCTACCGCGGGTAAATTCTTAAACCCTTAAGCCGCAAGGGAACTTTTTACATGCCAACCACTTTAATCGGCACTCTTGGTGCCGTGTGTCCTAGCTGTTTGTTCAAACTTCAAAGTGAGATAACTGCTATTTTGAGAATGTTTTTAAAACTCATTGTATGATCTACACGATTATTAGGGAGAACTCTAGCGTCGTACAGCCGCGATAACTTAGCTTTTGCCCAACATAAACTGCTTCATCATTACTCTTATGCACAGTCCAAGTGCAAAACAGCCCTTAGAGAGGTCAAAGTTTGGATGGTCCGGTTACATCAGTACGATATTTCCAACACTTCCGATACGACCAACCCACGCATAGTCACCATAAACAGCTCCCCACTTTCCACGTCAGCCTGGTCGATCCCTTAAAAAGGGATGGCAAGCATTAAAACAGAAACAGAGCCAGAGACTTTTAGAGATGACGACGCTGCAATTTCACCGGTATGTAGAAGACGCTAGTTCTACAGGGAAGCTTCATCATTCCCAAACTATTTACGTGAAAATAAGATTCTTCAAGTGCATAAAAACTCTAAATTTCTCATGCACATCAACGGCGAAATAGAAAAGTGTTGAATGTGCAGAAATTGGAGAGATTTCAATGCAGCTCGTCTCGAGCAACTCACGCGTATCACTGACTATATGCTTGTAGTACAAGAATTCCAATTGTTTTCTAAAGATCCAATAACACAAGTTGGGCTGGCAACCATACATATTGTACATACATATGTATGTACATACGCCAACATATAAAACAAACTCAAAACTCAATTTATCTACAATGAGCCACAGGCAAACTAATGTGTAAAACAACAACAACAAACAGCAACAACATGTGATCGCACAGTAAGTACAATAATATGGATGGATTTGTGAGAAGTCAGTCGTCAGTCACTATCAAAATACTGAGATGCGGCATGAGGCGAGACAACATTTAAGTGTATGTACATATGTACACGTGTTTGCGTGTAGCACCACCGCGCAACAGGCAAGACAAAGCGGCCAAACCCAAGGCAATATATGTAGCTGCATATGTACATAGCACAACATCGTCGTCGCCGTCGCCGTCGTAATCGGGATCTTGTAGAGTTTCAAATTGACTCGACCACTGCGAGCATTCACTACAATACAGTTAATTCAGTTGAGCATTGGACGGCGGAGCAAGCGCACGGATAACTCGAAATACGGATTGGATTGCAAACTGGGACGGCTCGGTGCGCTGGTGGTGAAGTTGAAAAATAAAGAAGAAGAAGAAAAAAACAAGAAGATAATAAGAAAAGGTTCAAATCAAATGTCTTGCATTAAGTGTATGCATATATAAGTGTGTGCGTGTGTGTGTGGGTGTATAAAAATATGTCAGCCTTTCAGTTCTGTCTGTTGGGCAGACGTGATCACTATACAGGCTCTGTGCCATTACTTTCTTATAAGAGCGCAATAAAGGGTTTTCGACCTTAAAGTTCATCATACGGCGAGACGAAGCTCCAAAAAAGAAAAAGAAAGTGTACAAGAAAAATTCAAAAATGTGATGTGATATTCAATTCAAGCATAAGTCCTATTGAAAAGAGGAAGTTGCGATACATACATACATACAAATGTACACTAGTATTACATTAAGAATTTTTTTTGTAATGCAAGAAATGATCTAATCGCAAACATGTGTACATAAGTGTGTGTGTGTCAATCACAACAAAAATACGGCAATAAAATATTTAAGCAGAATAATTTTACAATTAATTTGAAAAATATTTCAAAGAATTTTTTTTTATAAATTTTTAAAATATTTAATTCTACAAAGAAATTGATATTCCTTCGTATGAGTGTGTGCAAGTGTGGAAATACAAAAATCTACTAAGAAAAAGTTGAAAGCCCAAAAAGTAGCTACAATTACACATGCCAATATATTTTAGTTCGTGGAACCGAATTCCGTTCAACCCAAAAAATCAGGAAAATACAAAAAGCAAAAAATCAAAAAACAAAAAAATTATATTGAAGTGAAAAAAATAAGTGCATGCTACGAAAATTGCAGTACAACAACAAATAAATCTACAGCCAAACACACACAAAAAAACGAGCATAAAAAGCATTATGTTTTAAACTCTTTTTGTTTAATTTTTTTTCCTACAGCCCAAAAGTAGCTCACCGGCGCATTTCAACTCCATAGAGCAGTGCATTCAACATTTGGCCTCATTTAGAGCGCGGCGAGCGCAATGAGAAGGCAGTTGGTAGGAAGTTTGAGGGCCACTCAGCGAGTACCATATGAATCTCCCAACTTGTCTCTGCTACCTCCCTACCTGTGCCGCTATGAGAGCCAAACGGCTTAGATACTCAATAAACGATCGGCGCTCGCAAAGGTGTGAAATGTAAAATGTAAAGTGTAAAGTGTATTTGTGACAACAAAAAAGATATACACAAAAGTGTTAACGAAAACAAAGTATACAATAAAGTTGTGTGAAAACGCATGAAAGATAATAAGAGAAGACAAAAACCGGTATAAGAAGTGGCTTTGACAGCAACGAAAAATTACAAAATAAGCAAAAAAAAAATATTTAATTATTTATCAATTAATAAAGTTTAATTTTACATCAATTTAATTCACAAAAAAATGTCACTTTTTATTCTGATCGAAACCAAAAGAAGACATTCAATGGAGTCATTTTTGAAATAACTACAGTTGGTTGGTTGAGTTGTAGATAATATTTCATCTCGCTTGCATTGCAGAGGCTGGAAATCAAGCGTAAGCTAATTCAATATTCCAAGCTTTCGAGATATTGCGTACTAACATTCGGAAGGGCACAGTTGGAGTCCTGGTCTGATCAAACATCCCAAATTAAAGAAAATTTATTTCTATAATTGCCGTCGCTCCTCGGCAGGAAAGTGCTCCGAGTGCATCTCATAAAAATCCAGCTGGAGCCGTCTTAGAATAAACTATAAACTCCTTTATTGTTTTGAAAAACACCAAGACGCAATGTTACAATTCGGAACAGAATCTCAGTCGAAAATTACTTTAGTGGGGTTACAAAGCGCCAATTATATTATATGTATGCACACATATATACATACATATAATATTAAGTACTTTAGAGGTTTGTAGGCCGCAATAGCCGAGTGGTAAACATTGCGTACTAACATGCGGATGACCAGGTTTCGGGTACGGGTCCTGGTCCAAAATTATTTTAATTTTATTTCTTATTGGCGTCGCTCCTCGGCAGTTATTGTTAAGCTTTTCTAGTGTATTTCTGACATGAAATAAAAGCTCCACATAAAAATACATCATCCGTTTGGAGGCGACTTTAAGTCCCTCTAACCGTATTTCTCACTTTTCTGTACCTGGTTTTTAAACAGGTTTATAGATTTTCCCTTCTTGTTGTCGCTAAATGCTGATGACATTAGTTGTACAATTAAAGAACCGTTCCTAATCAGAGCGTGGGAGCTTTAAATCACGGTTTTCACAAGTCGAGTATAGCAAATGAGCAAGGGAATGCCTCTTAGTGCCAGCGAGCAATTTCGGCTACTTTCACAGATCCTATAAAGTGATAGTGCCGAACATATTCCTCTTCATCGCACTCTGTTGGTTCGACATAGCTCGGCTGAACTAAGAGAAGTAATAGATATTCAGTTGCTTCGAACAAAGTTTCTTCCCGACCGAAAATATTCTATAATATTTGCCTCTTAAACGGAACAACGGCACATTTTCTCAATAGTTGACATAAAATATTTAAATTTGTTTAGAAGCGACAGCGGCCTACTTATTATAAGTAGTCTGTAAAGATTTATTGATAGAAATGATAAAGTAAATAATATACAATAATACATGGCTGGACTTGAGCTTGAGTCGACAGGCAGAACAGAGTTTGGTCACTGCCCTAATCAAGCACAATTTCACTCCTGTTGAGCAAAGAGCTGTTTGTGTAGAGCACATAAAAAAACCTTTCTGGACGTCAATCCTGGCTTGGAGACCGTTAATGCCAACTCACTGCCCTTCGACCATGATCGTTTTCATTTGAAGTTCATGTAAGTGATTCACTCGTTCTGATTCAGCAGCGATTTTCAGATAGAAATTCATTCCATGAGGTTCTTTTTTTCTTATTAACTCATGTGGCACTCATACATTGATCTTCTTTCTATAGTCAACATTTTCAAGTGTTTCAAAACTATCTTTAGGCAATGCTTGGCTTCTGTTCCATCAAAACGGTGCACGCATGACGCTCAGACTCGACGGTTTCCATTATTTTATCCGCAATTTCGACAATTGCACTTCCGTAAAGCATCTCTTACATCAAATTACCAGCACGAAATCGACAAAAGTGAAATTGTGCATACTTCCCAGCTACAGTATCAGGTCCAAAAACATTTTTCCCATTTCTAGCTGTCTGACTTACGTTTTCGTCCTTATCGAAGGAGAATTTTGGAATATAGCGTATTTGTTTCTTGCTGGTGTCGAAATTTGAGATGCGCTCAAAAACAACCGAGTTAAGAACTCAACACTTGTCTTGTAATCTTTTTTAGCACAAAGCATCGTCTTTTTAATGGCATCAAACGGAGCTCAATCGTACTTATAGAGCATGAGATGCAGATCGCTAAAGCCGTTTTTAGCAAAAATAATGAATTTCTTTTTACTGTACCTAATATTTATTTCCAAAAATTATATTTGTGATCCACGAACTTAATCCAATTCACTGCATAAAATGAACATCAAATGACAAATTCGCATTATTTACAGTAATTCCTTATTAGCCGAGTATGCACGATTACTACCGAAACAGCCTCTGCTTCGCAATTCCCGGTCAAATTAAATTAACTTTTCAGTTTTTCGTGTATTTCAAGCACTGTAAATGCCTTTAAGTTCTGCGAATACCAAAATCACTATTTTTTAAATGCCCCAACATGTGGTCGAAGGGAATATTTTGTCGAAGTTTTGCATTTGCTGGTACATTTGAATATTTCGTGCTCATAACCTCAAAACTCTTATCTTAAAAGGAACTGGATCGTGTCGCTTTAGAAAGCAAAAGCAATAACAACAACAGCAGTAAAATAGTATAAAGTCTTATAATGGAAATAAAACAAAAAAAAAAAGATTCGAAATCACCAAAGAGCGGATGTGTGTTCTGAATGAAAGTCATTGCCTTTTTAATGTTTCTTAACGAAGTTTCTTAATATGTGCCTGTTTATATTATATGTATGTACACACACACACATATGTCTGTATCACATAAGTTGTGTGACTTTTTATAAAAAGAACAAAAAATACTAAATTTTTTATGTAGTTTTGTGAGATTATTTAATCATTGGCATGGATTTATGAAATACTATCAGGCTTAAAGTTTATATTCTTACTGTTGTAATAAATACAAACATAGTACATATTCATAAAAAAAAACAATTACGAATTTACTGATAGTTCTTAGTTCCATTTGCTGGCGTTGGCTTGAGCACACTGAACTTATTTTCCATACATAAAAATATGATATTCTGTCTGCTGATCACATTACTAGCTCAACGAAGCGACATGTAAATTCATATATTCGTACATACATAAAAGTACTCTTATGTACATATACATATGTACATAAATAATTATGTATACCAAAAAAAAAAATGTTTGCTTGGTTACAGTTTTATTAGCGGTTTCCTTTTTATTCATTTTTATTAAATTTTTAATTAATGTTTACTCCATCAAAGTCATATATGTATTTATGTATGTACATTAAATAGAAGATACACATGTATTGTGAAACATAAGATCTCATGCGCTCCATATTTCATTCGTTATCACTAGAGAATTCTCTCAAAAAAAAAACTTAATATTAAACTAAAGTCAAAATCTTCATAATAATAATATAAATTAATTATAATATTATTTTAATCTCAAGCTTACCACTTGTGTACTTATTTATTAAAAAAAAGAAAAATCTATCTCAAATAAAGCTTTGGCAAAAATTCCAAATCCAGAGTTGCCAATTTTGCGGTTTCAAAAATAAACGTAAATAAATTGCATTAAAAATACGAAGGGATTGACAAAAGTTCGGTAAATTGACCAGAAAAAAATAAGCAAAATTCCTTTTGTTTTCACTCATAATCTTTGTACTTTTTTATCTTCTCTACTTAAACGCCGCGGCTGCGGTAGCCGAGTGGTTGGCATTGCGTATTGCCATTCGTTGGGCCCGGATTCAAATCTTAGTGGCATGCGAATATCGACAAACTTATAGAAAATTAATTAAAATAAAAAGTAAAACTAAATTTTCTAATTGCGGTCGCTCCGCGGCAGGGAATGTCAACCCCT